GCTGTATCAAATTGTTTTCTAATAATCTGCATTATTATTGGATTAAATGTACCATAACAAATTATAATAAATTAAACATTGTGCCCATTTTATTTCCATTCTTAAAAAAATAACAGATGATAATCTGCTCCTAGAGTAAGCTCCTTCCTCCTTCCATTCAAATTTAATTTCATAAACATGTATGAAACGCTTCCAATGTGCAAGGTACTACAGGAGATTTTTTAAATGGGTAAGACATTTCCTATACTCAACAAACTTACAATCTAGTAGAGAAACAGAAACACACAAAAAACCATGATGGAAAGGAAAATGAGAGAACTCTTGTAAAAAAAGTTACAAAGTGAGGGTTACGGAGAGTGGCTGATGGGAGTGGAGAAACAGAGGAGGAATCCCTATAGGTTTCATGAATGTGACAGCTTTTGAACTGGACATGGAGAGATAAATGACATTCTCACAGTTCAGCTGGATGGCATTTCAATGAGATGTAAATGCAAGAGCAAAGACCTTGAAAAGGGAAAGCCGAGTGTGTGCATTTAGGGGAAAGCAAATATATACTCCTTAGAGTTTTGGGGTATAAGCAAGGATAAAAAGACAAACTAGAATAATACTGAGGACCTAAATGTTGGGGTAAAGATTCTCATTTAATTTCACAGGAAAAGGAGTCATTAAAGTTTTAAGGACAGGAAAGTGAAATGATCAGTCTCGCTCTAACCACAATAGTTTCTATATAAAAAAATAATCCTTTAGTCAGTTTTCTTAAGATTCTTTTGGGTCTCAATTTGAATGTAGTCTTGGCCAAACTAAATGGAATTATTTGCTCAACACCAGAAACTCTTAAATTAGAGCCACTTTTTAAAAGTCCTCAAAAATATAAAAGCAGCCCAGGCACACTGGCTCATGCCTGTAATCCCGCACTTTGGAAAGCCAAGGTGGGAGGATCCCTTGAGCCCAGGAGTTTGAGACAAGCCTGGCAACACAGGGACACCCTCTTCTCTACGAAATAATAAAAATAAAATAAAAGCTGCCCAGCCATGGTGGTCCCACCTACTTGGGAGGCTGAGATGAGAGGATTGCTTGAGCCTGGATGTCAAAACTGTAGTGAGCCATGACTGTGCAACTGCACTCCAGCTTCAGCAACAGAGCAAGATCCTGTCTCCAAATAAGTAAATAAAAACTATAAAAGCAAACAGAAAACAAGGCAAAAACCACAAAAATCTAAAACTTGACACTTTCGTAGGTCAGATTTTATTCAATGTGTTTCTAAAACTGGCTGTTGCCAAGAAACAAATCAGAATATGTACTTTCTGATTCATTTTAAGATTAAAATTAGCCGGGCGCGGTGGCTCAAGCCTATAATCCCAGCACTTTGGGAGGCCGAGGCGGGTGGATCACGAGGTCAAGAGATCGAGACCATCCCGGTCAACATGGTGAAACCCTGTCTCTACTAAAAATACAAAAAATTAGCTGGGCGTGGTGGTGCGTGCCTGTAATCCCAGCTACTCAGGAGGCTGAGGCAGGAGAATTGCCTGAACCCAGGAGGCGGAGGTTGCGGTGAGCCGAGATCACGCCATTGCACTCCAGCCTGGGTAACATGAGTGAAACTCCGTCTCAAAAAAAAAAAAAAGATTAAAATTAGGTGGACGCACTTGATTTCTATTTCAAAAATGGTACTGGCAAATGAAAAAATAATTTTACTGGCAATTTTACTGGCAAATGAAAAAAGAAATTTCCCAGTCTTGGCATGACTTAGGAACGGCAGGTTATTTCTATCAAAGGACCATAGCCAAGGGTAAGCACTCCCTAGCAAGACTAGTTTATCCTTCTGGGATGTTCTGCCTGAGGACCCTAATGGGCAGCAGAATTGTCAGTATGAAGAGGTAGAGCTGCGGTCTTCAGAAACTACAGACCACAGCTTGGGCTTCTAGTCATACAACATACTACATTCACGAGACCATCACAGAGCTTATTATTGCTTTCCTAGCTAAATTACAGCCTTTTTAGTAGCAGTCTTTGTTGCCCTCTGTGGTTCCCAACGTTCAAAGCCTTAAGAGTACACAAGCACTTCATGCCTGTAAAGTGAACCTTTTGGAAGGCTGAAACCCAGTGGTTGTTTTTTAATAATAATTAAATAGCAATAATTACAACTAGAATCAGAAGCTCCACATGTATGTGGCACTCAGCAAACACTACTATCCAAGAAAGCTTAAAGAAATTCCCTTTTAAGTTTCAGGAAAAACGTTTATTTTTTGCAAAAATAAAACCAAGGCTAGGCAGTGGCTCACGCCTGTAATCCCAGCACTTTGGGAGGCCACTGCAAGCAGATCACTTGAACCCAGGAGTTCAAAACCAGTGTGGGCAAAATGGTGCAACCGTATCTCTATAAAAAATACAAAAATGAGCTGGGTATGGTGGCATAAGCCTGTAGTCCCAGCTACTTGGGAAGCTGAGTAGGAGGATTGCTTGAGCCTGGGAAGTCGAGGCTGCAGTGAACTGTGATTATACCACTGCACTCCAGCCTGGGCAACAGAGTAAGACCCTGCCTCAGAAAAATAAAAATAAATAAACCCAGATGCATAAAGAAATTAAGTAACTTGGTCAAAATTGTACAACAGTTACAATGCTGGGACCTGTGTAAGGGGTAGACTTATGATCCGGAGATTTCTCCCCCACCCACTCTATGTTTCCTGTAGTTATATGGTAAAGTTTTATCAATTCCAGTTGACTAGAAAGATAACCTGAAATATTAACAAGCCTGAATCACAAAGTATTCTGAAAGAAAGGAGTCTAAAAATATGCTAAGAACATACAGCAAACAATATATGTCCAACCCAATATGACTTACTGAAGAAATAAAACTCAATTGTGATTATCCATTTGGGTATAATTAGTGGATCCTCCAAAAGCGCTTTCTTATGTAAGTTAAATACACAACTTGCAAGATTTTCTAGTAATTTACTTGGCAAATAAGTAGTGAAAGAAACTCAGGCAAGATTTGGCTCAATTAGAAGTCTAATTAAATTTAGATTAAGTCTCTAAACCTACCTTATAGCCACACTGTGCTGCTTAGGGTATACAATGAATAAAGGAAAGTAAAATACACACTTTAAGAAAATCTAGTTGAGGACAGAAGACAATGTACAAAACTTAAATGTCAAATAAGACATAAGTCAAAATAACAACATATATATATATCTTATCACAAGTAGTAAACTATACTAGGTTTTTCCTCTCACTCACCTGCTTTTTCCACTGCTCCTTAATCTTCCCACAAGTCTCAATATCCCATTCAAAAATTATTTTCTCAATCTCCGGCCTGGACATAAGTTCTTCACTACTCTTAAGCTGCACAGTCAATGACTGTTACTGGTCTCACAGTTTACCAACATAGGTCTTTCGGGTCCAGCTCACCTGGGCTAACCACTGATTTTTGAGACAGATGTCCATTAAAAAGGTGATTTACTTACACGTTCCAGATTTGTTTTCAGTACTAATGGCTCATCTCTTTTTTTCTGTTCATCCATTTTCCTTTTCCCTGTTTCTGTATCCTCTGGTAACAGCTTGTGGATTTGATCTTCAGAGGGTTTTTCCTCTTGTAACTTTTCTTCTCTCAGCTAAAAATATAAATTATACAGACAGAGTAGAGTTTTAGGCAACTATTAACTTTAAAACATCTTTTACTCTGTAGTTTATTACAACAAACAGACCACACGGCAGTTTTGAGACTAATTTTTCTTACCAGATATAGAGCCCTCTTGATTTCTAAGTAAATCTGCTTTTACTTGGCTCTTGCCAAACACACTCTTCAGAGCTTAAGATGTAACTGCTTTGCATTCTTAAGCAATATGAAATCATACAAGTTAAGATAATACACATTATCAAAAAATAAGGTATAGTCACATAGCCAAAAAGGGCTAAGCCTGAAAACCTTCCTTATTCCCATAAGCCAGATGTAACTGCACTGGACTAGGAGAAGAGCAGAGATGGCCACAGAAAGCCAGAGAAGCTGGACTAGGCCTCCTTAGCAACAGAAAGAATGACAATGCAGTTCTAATGTCCTACATTTTTATGCTCTTATCATGTTATCGCAGGATAAGTCAAGATACACGGTTTACAAAGAAATTTTGTTTTAATTTTATAATAGTAGAGATGGGGTCTCACTATCTTGCCTAGGCTGGTCTTGAACTAGGGCTCAAGCAATCCATCTGCCTCAGTCTCCCTAAGTGCTGGGATTACAGGCATGAGCCACTGCACCTGGCTGTACAAAGAAATTTATGGCAGAGAGATATGTTCTTTATTTTGGGAAGGTGGCACGGCATTATCAAGCATGGGCTTTGGAATAAAAACCTTGGTGACCTTGAGCAAATGAAGCATCATTTGCTTGTCTCCAAAAGAGGAATAATGCTACTTACCCTGCAGGAGTAAATGAGATAACAATATAACAGTATTTATTAACAGAGCCTTGCTATGTACCTACAGTACGTCAATACTCCATTTCTACTTTTACTCCTTTTTCAATGTCTAGAGTTTTAATAACATTTAAATAAGATGATGTATAGCAAGGCAATTATAGGCTACTAATATTTTTAATCATTCTTCTGGAAAGAAATAAAGCTAAAAACAAGTATTTTTGATAGGTTGTTGCCTCAGGGTTAAAAAAAAAACCCCACAACAATAAACAACAACAAAGTCTTACCTTTCCAATTTCTACAGGTCTGATTTTTGTAAGCCTGAACAAATCTTTAAGATATTAGTCTAATTCATGAGGTTATGAATATGCAAAGAATACTGAACACAGTGCTGTGCCAGGAGGAGATTAAAATAAAATAAAGTACTACCAACTCTGCCCAATCCAGATAGGAACAGAAGGAGGGAAAGCAAATCCATTGCTGGGGAGAAAACAAAACTATAGTCTACACTAACTGCCCATATAAAAGATTTAAGGTCTTTGAAAGATCTTATTCAATAACTTGATTACAAGCTATAGAAAGGGGTGGTTTACTTTCAGAGGATAGAGAAGCATAATAGTTCAAAAGAGAACAGGTTTTAGCATCATGGGAATGATCATCTACTGAACTCTGAATGTAGGTGCTGAGCCAAGCACCATGTCTACATTATCTCACTTAAGAGAACTAAGATTTAAGTGTTAGGTAACACGTTTAAAATCACACTGCCATAGGCATGGGGATGGAATGCAAATCAAGGTCTATCTCAGCAATTCTCAACCAAGAATTACTCTGCCTCCCTCCCCAGCCTGCCAGAACATTTGGCAAGTCTGGAGACAATTTTGATTATCACCACTGGGGTGACAATCACAGGACAGCCCCTCTAATATGTATGTAAATATTGCTATTTTTAAGAAAACTAAATTCTGAATTTCCTGTTTTATATATCTTAGTGTTATTTTATTTGGTGCTTAATGGTATTAACATACTATGTTCTCTGGCTTTTCTAGTGTTTTAGAATGTATCCTTCTGCCTCCAAATAATTTATATTTTAAAAAATAGAGACAGGGTCTCACTATGTTGCCCAGGCTGGTCTCAAATTCCTGAGGTCAAATGATCTTCCCCCCTCCCAAAGTGCCATTATTACAGGCATGAACCACTGTGCCCCGCTTCCTAATAATTTTACTGCTGCTCTCAAAGTTTTTGACATGTACTTGTGTTGCTGGCAAACAACCTTTTCATTGCAATGCTGAGTCACTGTTAACAGACCATTAGCTAAAAATTTACAAAAGTGAAAAAAAGTATCCATTTAAATATTCAGATAAAGTACATTGGTGTTTTCTTAATATAGAGTTCTGTACAAGTTTTTGTTTCTTTGTTTTCGTTGCTTTTGGTTGTTATTTATAAGGATCTGAGAACTTGGTCCCTAGAAGAGAGTTTTTATACTGAAAAAGACTAAGGGAGGGTCAGAAAGTAGCATTTTAAACTTGAATGAAAATATCAGTTGCTGTTGTTTATTGAACTGTTCTATGTTCTAGGCATTAAGTTTATCAAACTTCCCTCATTTAATCCTTAAGGACTCTGTTTGTATTTATTTATCATTACTATTTCATAGAAACAAAAACTAAGACTTAGTGGTTATCTCTCAAATCATAGACATTAAATACTGAGCTTGGATTTTAAAGCAAACCATTGGCTTCAGACACCAGTTTCTCAGCTTCAGCACAACTAACAGTATTGCCGGCCTATGTAATTCCTTGTTGTGAGGGCCTGAGCAGTCTGAGAAGGCATGAATACTTTAGCAGGGAGCAGAAGTTAAGGACAGAACAGCATAGCCAAAAAAGACAGAGAGCCAATATAAAGTACTACAATAGTTGGCCCACTAGTTAGCTACAGGTATACGAAATGTATCTCAAGACTGTCAGTCTGAGGTGAGAAAAAAAGAAGGACGTATCTATTGCCTCCCACATCCCACTGACCAAAGTGTGCCCCATGGAGTGTTAAATACTCCACATTGGCTTGTACAACCTGAGTACATTCCCATGGTAGGTACTGCAACAGAGACAACAGAGACACCATAGAGCTAAAAAGCAGCAGAACCCTAAACAAGGAGATAGAATGAAGACTTCCACTACTGTAAATGAGGTCATTTTTACTGCTTCGATTTTCAGATGCTAATTACTAGAGAAAAGTTACTGTCATCTGTACATTAATTTCATCCTCAGCCACACTACCAGGAATACTATGCAATTTTTTCCTGAAAATACCTTTACTTTTCCCTCAATCTCTAAAACTAAAAATTTTAAAATCAAAGTATAATATACACACAGAAAAGCAAATAATTAGTGTAAGCCATGATAAACTATCCATTCACCACCACCAAGATCAAGAAACAGTTTATTATTACCAGTACCCCTTCTGCTTACCCCTCACTCAAAAGTGAGTGAACTATGATAGAAATCATGATTCTGCCTGGCTTCTAACACCAAAAAAATCATTTTACCTATTTCTCAAGTTTATGTAAGTGAAGTCTTACATGGTTACTGAATCTTTCTGCCTTCACTCAACTGTTGAGTGAAGAAGTGAATATCACTACTTGTGATATTCATCCATGTAAGTACAGTTTATTGTTTCTTGTTTTGCTTTATAGCATTCTGTTGTTTGACAACTAACAATTTAACCATCCTATTGTTGGTGGATATTTAAGTAATTTTTATTTTTGGCTATTTATAAATTGGGTGCTAAAAATATTACTGAATATGTGTGCAGGTATACACACTGTTCTCTGGAGTATATTGTAGAACAGAAACTGCTGAGTCATAAGGTATGGGCATGCAGCCACAGTTTTCCAAATTGGTTGTACAAATTACACTCCTGCCTCCCCAGTGTAGAATGACAGTTGCTCCCAGCCTTACTGGCACTCAGTACTATTTGTCTACTTTAGCCATTCCAATGTGTATATACGGGCATTGCATTATTATTTTAATTGCATTTCTCTAATGACTAAAGATGTACAACAGCTTTATGTGTTTATTATGTGGAAATCCTTTTATCAAGTGCCTATATATCTTTGCCCTTTTTTCTTTTTGATGGTTTTTCCTCTAGTAATTTTTAAGAGTTCTTCATATTTTTTGGATATGAAGCAGTTGTCAGGAAAAAATATATAAATACATATGTATGCATATATGTATGTACATGTGTGTTTGTGTTTGTATATATATACATGTATGCTTTTTTTCCCTCTCACACAGAAGCTTGCCTTTTTCACTGTCTTAGTACAGCTGTCACTCGGAACATGTGGGGGATTGGTTCCAGGATTCCGCATATACCAAAACCCATGCATACTCAAGTCTCAAAGTAGGCCCTGCAAAACTCGCCTAAATAAAAAGTTGGCCCTCTGTATCTGCGGGTTTTGCATACCATGAATACTGTATTTTCAATCTACAGGGTTGAAAAAAAAAATGTGCGTGTTAGTGAACTCACACAGCTCAAATCTCTGTTATTCAAAGGTCAACTGTACTCTTTCGAATACAAGAGGTACCAGGTTCTAATGCAATTCAATTTATCAATCTTTTACTTTACAGGTAGTCCTTTTTCTATCACATTTGTAAATGTTGCTTACCCCAAGGTCATGAGAATATTCTCCCATGTTATCTTCAACAAGCCTTATTTTACCTTTCGGTCTACTTAGAATTGATTTTTTATGTTAAGACATAACCTACATATAATATGACACATATGGAAAGTATAGCTCAATGAGTTTTGTCAAACATACATATCCATATATGGTAATCATTTCGCTAATCAAGATATAGGACATTTCTACCATCCCCAGAAAGTCCCTTTGAACCTATTAGCAATCAATCTCTCAAACCACTTAGCAACAGGCTACCACTGATCTGATTACTGTATGTTACTAGTTTTGCCTATTACAAAAACATACAGCATGAATTTCTTTATGTCAAGTTTCATTGTCAGCATGATACTTTTGAGACTGATTCATCCATGTTATTGAGTTTACTATTAATACACTCCTTTATATGGATAAAATATAACCCATTGTATGAATAAACCACAATTTGGGTTTAGTTCTGGGCTATTATGAATAAATGTGCTATGGACATTTATGTCATTTTTTGGACAGGTGTTTTTGTTTTGGTTGGCTAAATAGCTACAAGTGGAATTGCTGGATCACATAGTAAGTGTATGTTTTAATTCATGGAACAACAGCCAAAATGTTTCCAATGGTGGTTGTATCATTATTATTCCAGTGATGGTTATACCATTTTATACTCTTACTACCACTGCATGAAAGTATATCTCATTTTGTGGGGTGTCTGTTCAAATCTTTTGTCCTTTTTTTTTTTTTTTAACCTTATAGCAAGAGTTAGATTGGCAAGAGTTCTTTATATATTCTGGACATTGTTAGATACACATTTCTGAACATCATTGATAGGTTCTCAGAAACTCAAACTTCAAGCAAACAGCATATAATAAAACCAATTTTACCATAGGCTAACTGATATAAAAGAGTTAAAGTCCTGTGGCATATTTCCATTCACAAAAAAATCACCAAACTTCTAAATAAAGACCCAACTACTTCTAATATTAAACACTGAAATAAATCAGGGCTACACATACATTTAAGAAAAGATAAAAACAAGCAAGATAATTATTTACCCAATTTTTGGTGAATCAGTGGGTGACTGTGGTTGCAGTGGTGGTAGGTTAAATCGAAGAATACATGTTTGCAGAGAGAAACTGCAAAGAGCACCTTCTACAACCAAGCAGTTCAAAAACAGTGACAGATATGCTAGGCTCACTGAGCACTTTCATACTGCATAGTTTATTGTTCTCCATTTGTATGATTATCATGTACTTCACAAATTGTTATTTTACAAAAATTTGTAATCATTTATTCACTTGTTTCCTAATCTATTTATTCCAGTTAAGGGTTACAGGTGGCCAGAGCCTATTCCAGCAGCCAAACCAACCCTTGACTGGACACCATTCCATCACAGGGCACACTCACACACATACCCACTCACTCAGACTAGGACAATGGAGACATGCCATTTCACCTAATGTGCACATCTTTGGGATGTGGGAGGAAACCGGAGTATCCAGAAAAAAACCCACAGATATGGGAAGAACATGCAACTCCACGCAGACAGTGGCCCTGGCTGGGAAGTGATTTTTTTCTCTCATCAATGTCATAATGAAATGATGTTGAACAAAATGACATCATTGTTGAACAATGATGACCTGCTGTATATAGTACATGATATGGGTCCAATTTCATTCTCTCACTGTATTCTTAACTCTCTTCGTGCAAGGGCAGAAATGCATGTACAGTATTTACTGTCAATCCACATAGCTTGAATGCTTATTTCCTCATGAAAAATTGTTAATATTTATCTTCATAATTGTTTATCAACATAATTACTGAATCTAGGTGATGGACATATGGACGTTCATTTTTCTTGTTCTTCCCACTTTTCTGTCTGTTGAATATTATAAAAATAAAAAATTTTGGGGCCGGGCGCGGTGGCTCAAGCCTGTAATCCCAGCACTTTGGGAGGCCGAGGCGGGTGGAACATGAGGTCAAGAGATCGAGACCATCCTGGTCAACATGGTGAAACCCCGTCTCTACTAAAAATACAAAAAATTAGCTGGGCATGGTGGTGCATGCCTGTAATCCCAGCTACTCAGGAGGCTGAAGCAGGAGAATTGCCTGAACCCAGGAGGCGGAGGTTGCGGTGAGCCGAGATCGCGCCATTGCACTCCAGCCTGGGTAACATGAGTGAAACTCCGTCTCAAAAAAAAAAATAAATAAATAAAAAATTAAAAAAATTAAAAAAAATTAAAAATTTCAAGAACATTTATAACATCTGTTATGTCTGTTAACAAACTGCAGGTGCTGGGTGATGATTAAAATAATTCATGGGCTTATAGGAGCCCATGAAGTGAAAGTTCTGATTATAATCTTTCACATGCTAAGTTAACTACTCCATTTCCTGTTAGTACTTAAGATGTTAACTAGCCATTCTTAGACTATAGACTAAAACATATATACATGCCATACTATTTCAAATAAGGCATTTTAAAATACATCTCATAACACCCAGAACATATCTCAAATCTCTATCATAGACTTGCAATATAAATTATTTGTGTTGTTACTTGTTTTCAAATCCCTTTTCCCCCAGGTATCTTTTAATCCTTGATTTCCACTCCCCTACTTGAGTTGCAGATACAGGATCTGCGTTCAATAAGATTAGTTCTGCAAATATTTATAGTGCATCAGATTCTATATGTTAGGCAAATTTTTAGTGCAGAGGATATAGTCCTGACCAAAAATGACAAAGTTGCTCATGTAGGGCTTACTAGAAGCAGAATGCTACTGAAGTGAATGATGAGGTTAGACTAATTTATTTATTTTATTTTATTTTATTTTATTTTATTTTATTTTATTTTTTTGAGACACAGTCTCGCTCTGTTGCCCAGGCTGGAGCACAATGGCACAATCTTGGCTCACTGCAACCTCCACCTCCCTGGTTCAAGCCAGTCTCCTGCCTCGGCCTCCCAAGTAGCTGAGATTACGGTTTTTTTTTTTTAGTAGAGACGAGGTTTCGCCATGTTGGCCAGGCTGGTCTCAAACTCTTGACCTCAGGCCATCCACCTGCCTCTGCCTCCTGAAGTGTGGAATTACAGGTGTAAGCTACCACACTTGGCCTGGACTAATTGATTTTTATAAGCAGTCCTTCCAACAAATATATTCCTTGACACAAACCATATCTATTGTGGTGACTATTCTATGCTTTGTGAGGAACCACTGTAATCTCAATTCTACCATAAAAGGTAACCAACCAGACAGTGCCATGGGTATTAGGCTTATGGGAGGTGTGCTGCCCAATGGTACTTTAGAAGCTTATATATCCAGAATTTTCTTATTTTCTTATCTCAACTGGTTAAATGGACCATCATCCAATAATACTAGACTAAAGAAATAATTTGGGGGTGCTGTAGAACCACAGAATCTCATTGTATTTAATTAATATTTCTCCTGACAAGGGGTAACAGGTCTTTCTTATAAAATAAAATGATGCACATGAAACACTCAATAAATTAAGAGTTATGGACATTGTACTCAAGTTCTGGTTATCTCCAAGCCAACAGTTCTCAGAGTGGTACCCTAGATTCTAAAGGGGGTTCAAGAGCTAATAATGGAAATTCTTTAAGTTAATTTTCAACATATTTTTAAAAATCAAATAAAGCAGATACTTACAGTCTATAAGGCTGTATCTAATAAATATCACCCTCTTTGCTTTTGAGAGACAGAGTCTCTCATCTATGTTGCCCAAGCTCCAGTGATCCTCCTGCCTCAGCCTCCCGAGTAGCTGGGAATACAGGCATGCACCACTGTGCCCAGCTTAAATATCACCATATTAATAAGTAGGCTGAAAGGGGATATCACCACAGATTCCACAGAAATTCAAACCATCATCAGAGATTATTATAAACAACTCTATGCACACAAACTAGTAAACTTGGAAGAAATG